AGGATATTTCCTGAGCATCAATGTACATTTTGGTTTGGGTTCAAAGGTCAGAGTCCTTAAAAACCCAGCAGAGTGCCCCAGATTTAAGGTGACTAATCTGTATTCGGTGTGGAAGAAGATGGCTGGTTACAACGGGCCTGGGCTGCGGGAAGAAAGAGAGGGGAAGAATGTGATGGATGAACCTGGTGCGGGCGGCCTGTGGGACCCAGAGCTGCTGCCCGCCAAGGTCCTGCCGGTGATGGGGCCCAGCCGGGCCCCTGAGAAAGGCCTGCTTTCAGGGCCTCACCGGGCGCTGCGGCTCCAGGCATGGCTCTCCAGCTAGCCCGAAGCTGACCTCTGAAAGGTCCTTTTGTGCGAAGTAGCCTTCCCTTGCTTTGCCTTCCCTTTTTCTGCTTTTAGAAAAGCTTGCTTATTAAAAACAAAAACACAAACACAAAACAACCTTATTCCCTAGGATAAACATGCCAATCTTTTCTACTTGCCAGAATCGGTAATTAGGTCAGCTCCATAATAACAGATGCGAGTTTAGCTTTTGAACTTGAAAGGAGGAGCAGTGAAGGCTGGAATGTGATTTGGAAAAACCCCAGTAACTCTTCTCTCTGATCCAAAGTAAACTACTTGTTCGTCATCCAAAAATCACACACAAAAATACAAGAACACCAAATAAGCAGACTCTTAGCGTATTCTACAAAGATATTTGATGACACAAAGCAGTGACAATCCGTGCATTATACTGTCAGCACTAAGTATTTTTATTGATGTGTGTCAGCTACACACAGTGTCAAACAGCAACATATTCCTCGGTTTGTTCATTCATTCATTCGTTCATTCATGGGCGTTTCACAAGTGGCTAAGCCGGAAATAAGGCATTCTTGGCAGGAGAAAGAACATATAAGGCCGCACTGTCTAAAGCGCTGACCGTTAGCCACAGGTGACCTTTGAAAATAAAATTTAATTAACTCGAATTAAACCAAATTAAAAATCCAGTTTCCTTGTCTCATTAGCCACCTGCCAAGTGCCCATAGCCATGCGTGGCCGGTGACTGCGGTATGGGGGGGGGACATACAGAACATTCCCTCGCCACAGAAAGCGCGACTGGACAGGGCTGGGGGCGGGTGGAGAGCATGTTGTCACCTGACAGCACCATTTAGAAACCACGTTGAATAAACTACATTTGTTTCTAAGCCCCAAAGCATGGCTCAGAGAATCACTGGTGACCTGATAGTACTTTTAAAGACATGTGAGGTAAACTCTTCTAAATATCTATAAAAATACAGCATGGAATGCTGGGAGACGAATTAGTACGACATTTCCACGTGCTCTGCAAGATTGTCCTCATGAAGAACTAGATGTCACTTTGCTGAAATATCGTCAATTTTCCCTTCCATTTGGTTCCCGACGGGGGGGAGTTTGTTTAATGTCCAGGGAGGTAGGAGGGGTTTGGGAAGGGGAGAGACTTTTGTCTTCTGGCGCTGGCTGGTATTTAAACTGTGCCAAGAGGAAGGGGGATCTTTTTTGACTTTCACTGCAAACACGTCTAACCAGGAGTGACCGTGAAAGGGCTGGCCAAGTACTTTCTCTAAAACCCCAGTCAAGCAGGTCAAGGGCCGCCCTGTGAAATCCTAGCTGTCCTGTTTGCTTAAGACTATTGTTTTAAGCTCTCGCCCGTATCTCGGCTTTTCAGATCAGGGAGCTCCATCACCCACTCTCTTACGCACCCTCCCGCCGGCCCCACAATCTCGAGCCTAGACACAGGTAAACCCGCAAGTGACATCTTCTCTAAGCGAATCCAGAAGCCACCGTACTTACGGTGGTTATGACACCTGAGTTTCTGGGTGAACATGACAGATGAAGTGTCACGGACATAGTCACGTGGCTGTCCCCGGTCGACATGATACCCATCACAGCCTCTGTCACGTACGGTTGTGAAGGTTATGCACTGCACAAGGGGGCACCCCTCAGGACGTGCTATTCACAGAGCAGAGATCACATATAACCATCAGAGAAACCACTTTCCGGAAGATAGCAGTGAAGTATCTCGTCCTACAGAAATCGCTGTCAATGACAATTTTCCGCAGGTGACACAGTCTCAGATTCGCGGGGACGGACACGGGTTATCACTTGCCCCAAGTCCTGGAGTGTACCACACCCACCCTCATTATTAGCGCACGTGAACTGCCGCAGTGTCATAGGTAGAGACAGTCCTCACGGTGAGCTCCGCAGCTCAGAGAAGGGAGGTCCCCAGTCATGGCCTCAGGGAGGAAGGAAAGCTGGGCAAATTTTAAGAAGAGCAAATTGTGAGTAATCAGCAGTGAGGACAGCATCAGGCTTGGGGCTTTGCTGTGGCCTGCACGGTCCTCTGGACAGCTGACCTCCCCTTCCAGGACGGCCTTCCTTGATGGTTGAGTTCAGACCCCCATCATCCTCCATGTCCCTGACCTGCTTCGTTTCCTGCTCAGCACTGACCATGACCTGGACTCCTTCTCCTTGTATAGTACGCCGTTTGTCTGTCCACTTGTCTATTTTCTGTGTCTTTCACTGAAATACCAATGCCATGAGATTAGAGGTCTTCATCCGTCATGTTCACCCATCGCAGCCTCTGTCCCCAATGTCTCGCCCTGAGCTGCCTGACGCGATAGCCACTAGCTACATGTAGCTCTCTAACGTAAGTTAGAACGAGCTAAAATCAAAGCAGTAGAAATCGGCTTCCTTGGGTGTATAGGTTGTACAGGTTTCAAGTTGTTGTTAGCTACACATGACTCGTGGCTTCCATATTGGACAGGCAGATATAGAAGACTTCTGCCACTACCGAAAGGTCTATTGGACAGCGCTGGCGGTGACTGGCCCCCAAGAAGTGTTCAGAACCTAGTTAATGAATGAGCTTAAATTGCTGTCAGTTGCTGAGCTCGCCTCTTTGAGCCTCCTGCTCTTTCACCTGAAGGAGAAGGAGAAAAACAGATTAAAAGATTAGGAGGATTAAATGACAAAGCGAAACAACCTCACACGCTGGAAGAACGTGAACGAATATGATTATAATTCTAGCTCTCCTAGGCTTTCGGGAACCCTGGGTACAAAGGGGATTATGCAGATAGGAGAAACTCATGTTTCGCCTGCTCTTGACCTTGCCTATGTCACACACAGGCGTTCTCTCACGAGGCTCTCCTGACGGCTGCCCCTAGAGGTGGCAGAGCCCCTTCCTCGCCACTCCCGCCAGTGAGTGGCCCCACGGTGTTGATAAGTGGGCCATGGATCTGTCCGCAGGAGTATTCAGATTTACAGTCAAAAAGAAAAAAGTCTACGAGTCAGAAAAACCAAATCTGTGGGCTAGATTCAACCGACCTCAGAGTGCCTGCGACCTTCTGCAAGTGATGCTTGCTTATCGCATCTTCACGGCATCTTGCACCTCCCACGCCACCTGGAAAAATTGATCTGTGGAGGTAGAACTTACATATAATACATTTACCTAAGTGTCAATGAGTTTTGGTGATTTATACACCCGTAAAACCACCACTGTAATCAAGATGCAGAGCACTTCTATCACCCCTGAATTTCCCCCACACCCCCATAACCCCGATTCCCACATTTACATGGAGGGCCAGCCTGGCCGTGGCATTTGCAGTGGGTCAAGGAATAAGCACTTGTATTTTTTTTCAAAGAGCCAACATTATAATGAGGAGCAAACAAGCCTGTCCCTTTCCCCCCGAGGAGTGAGCAGTTACAGGGCAATCAGTAATCACTCAGCGGTTGCCTTGACCTCGTCATCTGCCTGTGTGAGTAGCTACAGAAGCTAATTAGTATCAGATGGACAAACCCTGCCGTCTGGTACCCTCAGCAAGAACGTGCAGGGATGCCCAGGGCTCACGGTGGCAGCTCTCCCAACAACATACTGTCACCTTCCTCTCCAGAAAGACTGTGACAGTTTAAGGCCACCTTCAATTGTGTAGGAAAGGATCTTAGTTGCTAAAAGGGGAATATTATGAATCTCGCTAATTTTAGCCAATTCGATGGTGAAAAATGACTTATCTTTGCTGCGTTACTTTTCATTTCTCTTTTAAGTGAGTCGAGCACCTTTTCAAACGTTTACCCATATTTGTGAAATGGTTCTTTAAAGCTTAGCCTTCCCTCTGACCCACTTTCCATGCTCCCGACTGGGGAGAACAAATAAAGGAAGGGCTCCATTTGTCATCTGAGTTGGCCCCGTTGGACACGTTTTCTGCTCAAGTGCTAGTAGTCATCGTGAACTGGATGACGGTGGCACTTCCCCTCAGCGTGTGCCGTGTGGACACAAAGTGCTGTCATGTGATGCGCGATGCCCTTTCTTCTTCGCCTGTTCGTTCCTGGTCTCCCAAAAGATCCAGGCGTGTCAGGCAGGGTGACACTTCCCTTTTTCTTATACATAAGCCCACTCTGCCTCTGGAGGAGGAAGTGCGGTTCATACAGCCCCCACCGCTCACATCCCTTTAGCTCCCTGCAGGGGAAGCAAACCAGTCTTCCTGTCCCGCAGTCCCTGGGCCTCCGTTCTCATCCGTGGAGAAGGCGGCAGGTATCTTCCCAGAAATGCATAATCAGAGTAAACTCAGCGTTAACTGCCCTGAGTTTAAAGTCCGGAGCTGCGGTGTACAGAAGAGGTGCTAACACCTAGGGCGTGTTCTTGGGTCCTTCTGTGGGCGAGCCCTGTGCCAGCCTGGAGGCGTCCCCCATGTGCACGGTTGAGAACTGAAAAATAAACGATGAATCACTGGTCTCCTGGTGTCTGGTCTTAGCGCTTCCCTTCGCCGTGCCCCCTGCTGGTTCTACCTGCAGGGTTCTGTCCGAGCCCTGCGTCCCGGGTGGGCGCCCGGGAGGTGGAGGCTCCGCCCACGGCCGCGCCCAGTGAGTCCCGAGGCGGTACGTCCGCCTCCTGGTCCTGCCCGAGCCAATCCGGAGCCAACCCGGAGCCAAACTGGAGCCAATCGGGGCCCGCGCCCCGCCCCGGGTTCGCGTGCAGCCAATGGGCGTGGGTCACGGTTCTGCCCGGGTGAAACCTGCACCGCGCAGCGCCCGGGGCCGCAGACTCTGCTCGCGCTCGCGGTGCTTTCGGACAGTCAGGCGCAGGCATGGCCACCTCAGCAGCCGGCCCAGTGGCCATCATTGGGAGGTAAGCGGCCCGCGCGGGCCCGCCGTGCGCCCTTGGGTGCGTGCTGGGTGCATGGGTGCATGGGGGCGTCCCGCGCGCACCGGCCGGCCGGGGTAGTGCAGAGCTGGTTCTCTCCGCGCTGACGTAGCCGCCGGCCCGAGAGCTGACAGCGCGGGCCGCGCGCACAGGCGATTTGGGGGACTGGTCCTGTGGTGCCGCTTGCCCGCGAGTCCAGGGAGACGTGCCAGGCATTCCATGTGGGCGACACGAAGTCTGCCTGCAGAACAGTATCAGCCGTTCCCGTGTTGTGGGCAGGAAACCCGAATTAAGCAGTTTATCCGAAGTCATAGCCTGTAAATGATCGCGTTGGGAACAGCCCAGCACGGAGGGACGATGCACGCCCGGGACCAGGCTACCTGCGGGGCGTGGGAGCGCGTTCTGGCCCCCGGCGTGTCGCAGGGGCGGCAGCAGGTGCTGGGCGAGCACACCCGGCATGCCGAATTCTTGCAGAATCCGCCTTTTCCAGAGGCGAGCGCTGGAGCCGGGCTTGCTGGGGTGTCAGTATGACAGCCTGATTCCATCCAGGTGTTTCTGGTTGGAGCTGCACCCCCCTTTTAAAACTGCTATTTTCCTGTCTAAAAAGGCATTTAGGCGGGCCGATGATAGGCTGTGATAGCAATCTATCCACGGGTTAATTAACCTGCTATTGATAGAAGCACCTTTTGGGGGGCGGCTTTGTGTCCCTTTATGCCACTGACGTGTTGGCCCACTTGACCCCCATATGCGACCCGTGTTTATGAACAGCTGTGAAGAATCAAACAGGACCTCATGTAAGTGGGAGTTGGGAGGGCCTGTAGGGGAAGCTCTCATGCCCTACCACGCAGGTCAGTTACCTCTGAGGAGAAGAAACACACTCTCCATCTCGAGCAGCAAAGTGTTTTCTACCCTGCTCCATCCAGAAGAAGAAGGAACTTCTCCTCGCCTGGCAACCACTTAGCCAATGAAAGGTGGTTACGGTTTAGCCAATGAAAAGTCACTACACTTCAAACTCCCAGTTTCCACCAATGGACTCTTCCTTTCCAACAGCACCTCTGCCCTCAGCCTTTTCTCTATAAAAGAGCTTCCTCTCCTTCGTTCTCTGGACTTACAGAGGGTTTGCCATTAGACCGTGGTGTCCAGAATTGCAATTCTTTGTTCCCCAAATAAACTCTTTTTCCTGGAGAAATATCCGGCTATTGTTTAAGGTCAACAACTGAAATATGAATTATATATGTGAATATAGAATGTTTAAATATACAGAATATATATATACACATATGTGTTTGTATGTATTTGTATACTGCATCGTGTTTACCCAAATTTTATGCCATGAGCTTGCTTTAAAATTGGAACTGTATGGGGGGAGATCAACTTTGTCAGGTTCCTGGTCCCCTTCTTCACTGGGCACACTTTTTGAGGAAGAACTCTGCTTCTGAGACCCTTCTCTTAGGGTAGAAGCTGTCTTATCCCTCATTGTGTATCCACCATGTCTGGTCCTAGTAGACATGTTTGGGTGTTTATAACAGGAATTGCATTTTTTTAAACTGATAATGCCCTGTGAAGGGCTCGCTAGGATGTTTTGTATCAAGTAAAGCATCCGTTAGTCTTCGTTTTTCAAGTCCAAAATTTTACTTTAGGGTGACTGTGTACATTTTTTTATGAGACATTTTCTGAGGCACGAATTTTTTTTTTTCAAAGTGTTATTCTAGGTATTTTCTTGCTAACCTTTGCATTAAAACACACAGACACAGAGACATATAAAGAGACACAGAGTAAACCACAGGGTATTCCTGTCACCTCTTGAGTCGACTCAAACCCTAAAGGTGCCCTTCTCAGGATATTTCACGTAGCTCTTATTTGCAAATATCCCAAAACCTACTTAGATCAAGTGTGTAGGAGCAGTTTTACTTCAACTTTTGCCCAGTAAATAAGTGTCTATAGAATGGGAAGATACTTTAAAAAGCGTCTCAGGTAAATTTATTCAAAGCTAAGTGCCATTAATGATAAAATTAGAACAGAACCAATTTTATAACATTTTCCCCCTGCTGCTTTGCTTCTGTGTAATAGAACAAATTTTTATGAATTTAGAAGCCTTAAAGCATATCGGAATAGTCCAAATGGTAAGGGCCCATCGTATGGTCCCCAGGTATCCAGGAGGTTCAGAAAAAGTTAATGAGATGTCACAGACTCTAGGGACAGGAGGCTAATTGCATTTGGGCCTGATGTGAAGTAGTCCTGAGGACAAGAAAGCCCAGTGGAAACCAAGGCCTCGAACTTTCGTACTGGGGCTATGTGGTCTGTGTAGTCTCTGTACCTCTCCCTACATTGGTCTGCTCTGCCTACCCATGCTCGCTTTTCTCTCCCGGTTCTTTATCTTGGGCATTACTGCAACGAAACATCACAACCTTTCAACTCCAGGGCCTTTGAGGGACTTATACTTTCCATATTTGGGGTCCAATTTTCAGAAGAAGAAATCTGATCGGCTCAGTGCCTTTATGCGAGCCAGGCTGCAGATGTCAGTGGGCGCCGTCGTTGAGCCAGGTGATTGGCTGCTTCAGATCACGTGGCCACTTCACGTCCGGTCTCAGTAACTGAGCACGTGTGTGGGCAGGAGATGCCATGGTTCCCGGACCTGGCTTTCTGCTCTTGGTCTGTCCTTTAGAGATATGTTGGCAATACAGGCCGTGAAACCTAGTATGATTAAAAAAAAAACAACAAAAAAACAGCCAAAGTAGTTATGCCTGTTATATGAAATATAACTAATTTCTCCCCGTTTTTATTATGAAAATTCTCAAACCTACAGAAGAGTTGAAAATACAGAATAAAGAATATCCACATACTTACCTCTGTATAAAATGGCTGTTGAAAATTTGTTATATTTGCTTTATCTGTGTATAAGTTATTCTACCAATTCTGAATATTAGATAGTTTTTAATTTTTTACTAATATAAATGCTATTGTGAATGAATATCTTTGTGCATTGCCCATATGAACCTAAGATAAATTCTAAGAGTAAAATTCCTAGGTCAAATATCACAAACACTTACAATTTTGATACAAGGTGTTAGATTGCCTCCAGACACTTTACACCAGTTTATATTCCCCCCACTAGTTTGTGTGTACCCATTTCCCCATAACATCCCCAACACGAAGCATTGCCAGTCTTTTTAGTCTCTGCCATTTTGATGTATGTATCTTCCTATTACTGAAACAGTCGAATCTGTTTTCAAGTTAGTTATGGTCTGTTCAATTACTTTTTTCAAGCTTTGCCTTTCTCGTGTTCGTTGTGTTCTTTGACTTCTGTGTTTATGGGAATTTTTGTATATTTATATATTATGTATCTTATTTCATTTTGGATATCTGTCTTTTTTTTTAAACCGTTAAAAAACTTAAAAGTTATTAAGTTCAGTTAGTTTATCTGGCAACCAATATTCAAACAGGAAGACCAGGGTGGCTTGGAGTATTGTAAAAATGCCTTTGCTGGAAAAGTTAAAACTACTGTTTTAGTGTGAATATCTCCTTCCCCCAGTGTCTGTGATGAGGAATTGCAGCCCCTTGGCGATGTGGCTCACTCCCGCGTGATCTTGGCATAGAACAACTGGGGGTGGGACTAGGTGTCCCGATACCCAGCTAACCTCTGAGATCAATGACTGAATTATAACTGTTGATAACCTTTTACATGACTCTGCCCTTGAGAAAACTAACGTCAGCCAGCAATGCGAGCCATGTACATAATTACATTTTTATGAGTTACATTAAAAAGGTAAAAAACAAGATGAAATTAATTTTAATAATGTATTTTATTTAGTATATATTTCCAGAGTGTTATTTCAACACGCGACTTATGTAAAACATTATTAATGAAGCAGTGTACATTTTGAGGGGAGTATTGTCTTCAAAACCCAGAGTGTATTTTACACTGGCAGCGCATCTCCCTTCAGGCTGGTGTCAACCTTCCACAAATCGGCGCGTCTCTCTCCGGCCAAATAGGTGAACGTGGGAACGACAAAACTTGCAATTCGGGACATGCGGTCTAGTGGCAAACCACAGGCAAGGCCTGAGAATAAAGGAGGGGACCCTCTTCCACAGCGGAGAAGAGGAAGCGGGGAGCACTGTGATAGGCGGGGGTCTTCCTGCTGCCCGCCCCCCCCCCCCCCCACCCCCCCGCGCCACGTTCGAGCCGATTTCATTTTAAATGAGGTTTCTGTTCATGAATGTCTTCACCAGCCACTTTTCAAGGGCTTAACAGCGCAGGTGGCTGGTGGCTATGGTACTGGGCAATGCGGGGCTAAGCGATGACGTACCCTTTGTTGATAAAGCAGGTCTTCAGGAGACTGCCTTGTCCCCCTCTGCTGTGACTGCCCTGCAATGCAGGCTCAATTGAGAGGTGCTTAGGCTTATTTTGAGACAGCAATTCGACTTGTGGGAGGAGGTTTACCTCATGAGATGAATCTCTTTTGTTCTCCTTGGTGGAAAGTCTTTTCTGTAAACGCAGCCACAGCACTTGGGGCTTTTGTACGAAGACCAGTTGAAGCACCTCGCCCTTCTCTCATCGTGCCGGCCGCCGGCCCTTCCTGTTCCCTGAGCCTGGCATGTGCAGTTCCCTGTTGTCTGCACGGAGTCCCTCAGTTTCACTGTGTGGCAGACACGGATGTCAGCGCACCCAGTAGATCCAGGTCTGAAGCCGAGGTTGCTTCAGAAGGTCGGGTGCTTGATCAGCCTGTGGGCACAGGCTTTTACATGTGTGGACAAGATGAGTCATTTTGTAGGAGTGTAGTATTTTCTTAAACCACAAAGTGGCAAGAGAAAGAATTCTCTTTTCAGAAAAAGTCTGTACGACTTACGTTTTACGTACAGCAAAGTGCAGAAATCACACGTGTCCAGCTCGATGATTGTCATGGAGTGAACACATCGGCATAAGCCCACTGCGAGATGCTCTACCTTCGGGAGTTAGGGTGCTTTAAGGGCTTCTCCTATGGCTAAATACGCCACTGTAGGTTTCAACATGATAATTGCAACAGGAAGAAAATGTTTAAAGTCAATGGCTGGTCAATTGGGATGACCAGCATGAATGTTAATTGGCCTTCTAATTAACCGCCTTGC